CTATCTTCTGCATTATACAACATTGATTAAACAAAAAAAAAACATCTAATACCATTTAACAAGAACAAGAGAACAAACTTTTTTGTTAATATGCAATTATCAAAGTAAGCAGGGCTCTATTTTCCATTTTTAAGGAAAGCATATCTTCTATGCCCGGATTATTTTATTGAAAGGCTACAGCTAAAGTTTGGCTCCTTAAAAATTACATTTATGGACTACATAAAGTTTCCAGATTTTGATACAAGAAAGTGAAAGAAGTACTTTTACACTTGGGAGACAAAATTAGTGTGTACGATAATGTCTTGTTCAGTGATAAAAGATTATGGGTAGATATGGCTAGATTATGAGCAATGGTATCAGAGGAGGAAGTTAAAGTGCATTTGGTAGATGGTAAACTGCAGTTGGCAGATTCCTTAATAAAAAGAGGCGCCTCTACACAGAAACCTGTCAGAAGAAGTTGAAACATGAAAACTGAAAAATGAATAAATGTTATTTTTCAACTTTACAGGAGAACTGCAATATTGATATTTTTAATGACAAAAGAAAAAAGAAAACAACTAAAATATAGGCAACTATATATAGATAATTCTTACATTTTAAAATTATTTCTGAGGAACATAAATATCTAAAAAATGTTTTTAAAATTGATTAAGAACTTGTATTATGTTTTAGCTAGTTTATATATATATATATATATATATATATATAGAGAGAGAGAGAGAGAGAGTTTATATTGTAGTTTTAAATTTTCACAGAGCATAAGTAAATTAATTTTAGGGAAATTGATTTCTATTTTTAAGGGATTTATTTCATTTTATCTTTTACAATATAAATGTTATTAGATTCCAATTGATATTTATTGAAAGAGGGTTATTTACAAAAAAAGTTAATATTTTCTTTTTACAAAGAATTAAAATTAAAAGTTTTATTCAAATTCATTAATTAGTTCAAATTTAGTATATTTTAAAAAATTTAATGAATATTTTCCAACTGATAAGTTATGTATGTTTTCCAGTTACAAATGTAAATGCAAATTAAGAAAACAAATAATGACATTTCAATTTAAGAAAATAATTTTCTTCAGCTCTTCTACTTTTTAATGATATAAATTTTATGAAATTTGATTAAAATTTTCTTTGGGCTTTAATGTTCATTTTGTCAATTTTATGATGAATCTATTCTTATCCCAAGTTTAATTTATTATTAAGCTATTAATTTACATTGTAAATTTTGAAGGTATTTTTTCTTGTAGGTTCTGCTATTTGGACCAGTACACTCATCTTGGTTGTTCTATTCTCAATAGAGAATTTGTACTCTGTTATACTGTCCATCCTTCTTCAAGTGTCTGATCTGTAATCAATAGGCTTAACTGAATTTTTATTCAATCCACCAGGGTAAACTGTTCTCATTTCACTTTTCATACTTAGAGAATACTTCTTATCAATTAATAATATTCACTAGACATGCAAATATAGAGTGAAACTACAGAAATTGAAGAGGGCCAAGGAAACACCTAAATTGCAATACAAAAGATTCCTGAATGACCCAAATATGAATGAGAAATCTATGGACAGCATTAAAAGCAGATACAATGAACTAAATGAGTATGGAAATTCAAAGTTGGACATATTAAGAGAAACTTTAGTAACATCAGCAAATGAGATCATCCCAAAGAAAAGTAGACAAGAAAAAAAAAGAATGGATGACGGATGAAATTCTTGACATGATGAAAAGGAGGCAACAAATCAGTGCTAAGGTATGGCACAGAATGTAGGACATTGCAGAAATAGAAAGAATGAGTGTTACAGATAAAGCATATATGTATAAAGGAATAAAAGAACTAACATGACAAAAGACATAATCATCAACAGGATGCATAAATCTAAGGACAGGACACTGAAATTAGAGAAAGAAAAAATACCTCAGAGATAAGATGAATATATTATCAATGAAAGAGGACAATTCCCAATACACAAATATCAAAGGACCATAAATATTAAAATATGAAGTGAAATCAACATTAACCAAATTGAACAGGAATAAAGTGGCAGGACCAGATGGAATTGTAATAGAAAATGGAAGCAAAAAGGAAACTTATACTTAACAAGACAGTTGAAATTTCTAGAGCACATAAAGAGGGTGAAGATAATTTGACACTCATAGGACATATTGAGGGAGAGAGGAAAGCAGTGCATAACCAGGCTAATGAGCTTTTGTAAATCATTTATTGTAAATGGTTGGCAGAGCAGGGATTAGAAGAGATAGTGAAAAGACAAAATTTACTAAAAACTACAAAGGATGGGAAATTGTGGAGAGCCATGATCACCCACATCCTGAAGGGAACAAGTTTTATTCACCTTTGTGTTATTTGTCTGTTTCTTCCACAGAACCAGATACTTTTGGGCATTAGTCAATTAGCTACTGTTAGTTACAACATATCTAGTTCCCTGGTTGTTTTTCAATCACTGGGTTTGCTAGGGCTAAATGTCACATATTCTGGTCCAGTGAAAGAAATGGATAAGTGACACCAAAAACTGGTGAGCATTATGAAATATTTCAGAAAAGGAAATGATAATAAGTATGAAGTCAGACACCTGAAGAATGCCGAATGCTAGTACAACAACCAAAATGAAAATAATGGTCTGAATAGCAAAGCATAATTCCTCATTTGAAAAAAAAAAAAAAAATGAGATAATTTTAATTATTGGTGCTAAACATATACGATTGTCGAAATTCAAATTGCAAGCAGCTATGTAAAAAAAGGAAAAAAAAAATCTTACAAATATTAACGAGGCATCATTTTCTTGACTTGTCAAAAGATACTTTGGGGAATTATTTTATTCTGTCATTGGTTCAATTAATAATCAATTTCTTTAAAAACATTCAACTTTTGTATTAACCAGTTCTTCTGTGGACACCTGCACACTTGTAGCGGACACTTTGTAATAACAATCAAGTAACTTTAAAAAAATTACTGTTACATTTTTTTTATTAATTGGATTTAAGTACTTTAGTCTATTACTTCAAGTAACTTGTTCAAAACCCAAAATATAAATTTAAGATAAAAAAACCCAAAATATAAATATAAAATAAAAAAATATTTGTTAGATTGAAAAATCGGTACTGAATAAAAACTTTTTAAAATGTATCAGTAGATACTTTAAAGTTATCGATTTTAATTGTTTAAAACTTTAACGGATTTTTATTTCATATTTTTGTTGGAAATAAATGTATTGTAGATTATGAAAGGTGGAAAAAAATGAGCTCATCAGAAAGTCGTATTTCGTTTCGGGACTTAATTTCAGTATTTTATGTAGTCGTAGTTGAATATGGCTGCTGCTGGTGCTCGCAAATTCGTTCCTTTATTTTGACAGCTGTTCCGCGGTAAAACCAAAAAGGCAACTAAGTATTCATCACTTCATGTAACTGGACAAACTCAATTCTTATCACTTGGCCTGATAGAAAGAACTCTAACAGTTCTATCATCCCAAAATGAAGAATAAGAAAACGTTGTTGCAGAATGCTTTTCTTGTCAGTCCTTGTCGGCGCTCGGGCAATTCTCATGCTGCCTCTGGCAATAGTAGCAACAAGAAACGGAATCGTAGATTTGAAGGTGCCGCCAAGTATAAATCGTCTTACAAGACTTCGTGGGAGTACATGTTTAGCTTTGTAACAGTATCGCAACTCTCAAAGTATTACTTTTATTGTACAATATGCCAGAAAGACGTTTCCATCCAGCACCAAGGAATCAAAGATGTCGCTCGCCATGCTGATGGTAAAAAGCATAAACAACAAGAATTGGCCAACACGTTGTCAGCTTTTGGTCAAGTTGGTGCCAAAGTGGCAATGCGACTTCGATACCAGAATGAAGAGAGTAATAATATTGCCAAATCTGGAGTTCGTAAAGTAAGTTGAAATGAAACACAGGTTGAGCATAAAACCATTTATCTCAGTTTCTTTTATTTTTATTTATAAAAAAATTTAAAACGAATTTAATTTCAACCGAAAATGACAGCGGAGTTGATAAAGTTAAAGTAATTTTTGTGGTTTTGATGAAGTATTTAAACGTTTGAAGCTTGTCCGGAATGTAAGATAATAATAATAATTCTGTCAAACTGGAGTTTCAAGCTGTAATCACCGATTATCTTCAGGTACTACTAGGCTTCCAAGGAATGCCAGTTTATGTCGTTCACCAAAGATTTGTTAAAATAAAAAGGAAAAAAAAGATACATGATGAAAAATGTACACAACATAAATCAACATTTTATCGTGAAAAACTTTTTGTTCTATTAAGAAGAGGAAAGCTCAAAGAATTGTTGATATTTTTTTTTTATCCTTTTTACAACTTGGAAATTTTGGTTAAAATTCTTGTTTTTTCTGGTGTCAACGTGGGACCATAAATTTGAAAGAGAAATTTTTGGGGCATCTTTTTTATGGTGAAATACACATTGATTTTGAAATTCTTGCAAAAATTAGATAATTGTTGAATTTTAATGAAATTTCAGGACTTGTTCTGAATTGAATGAAATTATTTTTGAAACCTTTCTTATTTAGAAAGTCTTTGTAAAAAAAAAAAAAAAAAAAAATTCTTTTACATTTTCTTGTTACCCCTATTTATATTGGTTATAGAAGGACATAGAAGAATTTTAAATCATGAAATTTTTGTCAAATCTGCTCAAAATCGTAAAATAAAAAAATGCAATAAAACTAAAAAAAAAAAAAAATGCTTTTTTTCTGCAATATTCTAGATTAAACCTAAAAGTAAAATTTGTTTCAGTTCAGCTAATTTTTCTGAAATGTTTAAAAAAAGAAACTTATTTTTGAAAGATTTTTTAATAATTAGAATTATATTATTGGCAGATTTGTCAATATTGACGATTTTATCAATTTTACTGATAATCAGAAAAAAAAAAAAAATTCAATCAATTTAAACTTGGTTTGAAATGCACCAAAGTATTGGAAATATTAAACTCAATATTAGATTGGAATTAAAACTAAAATAAAAGCTTCAAGAAACATTTTTTTTTTAGTTATCTACTTATTTGGGAAAACGGACACATGAAACACTAAAAAAGTAAGAGAAAAATGAAGATTAGTCTACTAGCAGAGACTACAGTCTTATCACACAGGGAATAATTTTTACACGTTTCCAGTGCAACACCTCTAACTTCGAACGTTGTTAGTTGGGTGACAACACAATAATTCGCACGAAACAAAAACAATGCAATCACATTTTTATATTACAGCTGCTGTTTTAATATTAAGAAATTAGTCCAGTTGAGTTACCTCCCCTTATCTACATGGGAGACTGAAAATATATTTAAAAAATGTTTTTATTGCAGCCACCTGAAAATTTTGACTTCACGGATGCTAGAAAATGGTCAACGTCAAAACATTTTTTGTCATGATACTGAAGAGCGTTGTGACTAAATGAAAATTCCAGTGAGAGGCAGTTAAATATGCCATTATGGGATTTGAATCAGATAACATATATAGCTTTTTCTCATTTAAAAAGAAGAAAAAATTGTAATTATAACAATTTAATGTGTATTTTATAACCAAATGAAATTTAATCTATGATCAGGTGAGATTTCATCAAAGAATAGAAGGAATCAATTGAAATATACATCAAATATCAATATAAATTAGAATATTTTTCATTTGTGAATAAAGAAATTTGGGACAGATTCATAGTTAACAAAAAATCTCTTGAAAAGCTTCAATTAATGTCAGGTTTACTTTTGAGAAAGCACTAGAAAGTGGCTAGAGTGTTTGAGCAAATGGACATACATGCTATGAATGTTGATGCTTTGAAAGAGAAAAAAAATTATCAACTCAAAACGAAAGATGTTATCAGCAAAGGAGCAGAAATATGTCCCCATGTTTAAGGTGCAATAGAATGCACAATACAGGGTCATGTAATGTGAAAAGGAAATTATGTAGGAAATGTAAAATAATAAATCATTTCACAATATTTGCTGAACAAAGTTGAAATGAAGGAGCAGAATTTTTGGAATGTAGCATCACTAACTTGGAGCAAATTGATCTAAATGTTACTTTACCTGTGAAATGGTATTGTCTTTAAAACCTATATGGCAGTAGATTATGTTTTATCTTCAGATACATATGAACCTTGAAACAAAATTGTTACCAGTAATAGGTATTTTCAAAGTGCTAGAGAAATATTAAGTTATGAAGCCAGTTTTACCACAACAACTGAATACCATTATAATAGCTATAAACATTTAATTAATGCTATAAAATATAGCACATGGCACAACTTATAAGGGGGACTGGTAACAATTGTAGGCAAATTAAAGCATGTAGAAAAGGAAATGATATTTGACCCAAGATTACACTGTACACCATTGACAACACCAATTTCTTTTCCACTTCTTCCTAAGGTTAAAGTAGTCAAAATGTTTAGAAAAAGAAAGTATCATACAGAAAGTAAGAAAACTGACTAGTATGCTCCAAAACTGAACAAGGACTTAAGGTAATGTTTCTTTTTGCTTTTTTTTTTTTTTTTTTTTAAATTAAATGTAGTGATTAAGGAGCATTACATGTTAACCACATTAGAAGACATGTTTACAAAATTGATGGGATTCATCCTTTTTTCCAAGTTAGATACAGCCAAAGGGCTTCAACATTTGTCTCTGAATGAAAACAGTTGCTTCTTGACAACATTCATAATGCCTTTTGAGCAATTCCCTTTTGGCATCTCAATTGTGTCAGAAAGATTACACATAAAAATGTCTGAATTATTTGAAAATATTGGAGGGATACAAGTTATCACTGATTATAAATTAATACATAAGAAGAATATGCACAAACATATGAGACTAAAAGAAGCATTAAAAATAAGGAATAAAATTGAAGGTGGAAAAACGTAATTATAGAAAAATATTGGATATATTGTATTGAGCAAAGGAATACAACAGAGTAAAATCCATTAGCAAATTAGAGGCTTCACTGAATTAAAATATATCTGGGACATGATACAATATTTAGATAGATCCATACGAGATATTGCTATTACAATCCAGTCAATATTGGAATTATTGAAAAAAGATGCTGGAATATATATATATATGAAAGCTTCAGTTTGGAACTACCCACAGCAAAATTCCTTTGAAAAAGTAAAAAGTAGCTTTTAACTGAAGCACCTTTTTAACATTCTAACACTCAAAAAAGAATAGTGGCAAGTGCTGATGCAAGCAATTTTGAACTGAGTGCTGCATTATATGAAGAAAACAGTAAATTAAAAGTCACTGTGTATGCTCAGTGATTTTAAATCAAACCAAGAAAAAGATATGCACAGATAAAAAAAAAACTGTCAGCGATTAATAATGTGGTTGGTTGATAAACTCTAACATGGAACAGGTGCCAGGAAAGCAGTTAACAGATCTGGATACACTACTGAGACATCCAGTACAAGAAAATTACAGTAGTATGGAAACTATGAAATCATATGTGGGCAGTACCTTAGAAACACAACCATTAAAAATTGGTGATCTAATAAGAATAAAGATGAAAGTATTTGAACAGATACTAGAATTGTTACATCAGCAAGTAAAAACAGGACACTCAAGATAAAGACCCAGAAAGGGTAAATTCAAAGAAATCATAAGCACTTTAAATGTGACAGCAGTAAAGAGACCTGTACCTAATAGGACTTAAGAAAAAGAAAAGAAAAAAATGACCTGTTAAAACGACGCTAGGTAGAAAAATAATCCCCCCCACAAAGTTTGTTTATTAGTCAGGTTGAGTTACCTACCCTTATATCTGTTTGTTTTGAGCGAGTAATTAGTAACAAACCGTTTTGTTGATAATGTGTTTGTTTAATTCTTCCTGATTAGTTCTCGTGTAAATGCATCGCACTTGTTTTTAAAAAAAAAAGACAAACACACTATTTTTTAAATTTTTAATTGGATTGTTGCTATAAGTGCAGTAATAGTTTTTAAATACTACCACAGAAAGCGTGATATCTACGGTTTAAAATAAATTTTAAATGAATTTTTTAAAATGAAAAGTCTTTTATTTTAGTTTTAATTTCAGGCTAATAGAAATATTAAATTTTACTCTATTAGCTTGAAATTAAAACTAAAATAAAAGCTTCAAGAAATACAGCAAAGTATTTTGTTTATTGGAAATATGCTAACTAATTGACTGGAAAGGAGTTTTGTTTATTTTTTTGTTAAAATAACTGATTATTGCTCTTTTTTAGTCTTTCATTGCAGTGGAAATATACTTTTCTGAAACTTTATTTGAGCTGATTTAAACTATAATTAATCTAATTTGAAACATGTTTACTTTATCACAGAAATTGATTTTTTTTTAACACAGTGGTAGATGTTTAAGCTGTTGACATGTTTGAGTGATGTTTAGTTTATTGTTGTTCTATTAGGGATTTTGCCATAAAAATTAATTGAAAATAATGTGATCACCTTTTTATATATAATTTTTAAGTATTAAGTAATCTTAAAAATTTAAGAAAATAGTCTCCTAATCTGATGTTTTATTGAATTTTAGATACTTTTTAGCTTTAAATTTGCTATAGTTATTGCTCTTACTTTCTAGATAATATGTATGGATGTCTGTATCTACAAAAAAAATCAGTATGTTTATATGCATACAAAAAAATTCAAAATTCTTTTAAAAATATTTGTGTTTGATGATTTCTACCTTTCCATTTATGATTAGTAAATATAGTTTTTACTTAATAATATTTAAAAGGATGAAATTAAGATTTAAATTTTAAGATTTAAAACACAAATTATTCTAATGAAAAAAAAAAATGAAAACGCTTCTTGTAAAAATTCTTTATTTATTTAAAAAAAAAGTTTTCTTAAGACAAAAGTGTCCTTAATATATCTTATTTATAAAAACAAAAGTTTTGCTAATTA